CCCTGTCAGGTACATGGTGTGACACTTGGGAATTTCCTGTGCAGGGCAGGTAGTTGGACTTGATGATCCCTGAGGGCCATTTCCAACTTAGCTTATTTTGAGATTCTGTTATAACTTTTTTCTCTCACCCAACATCCATGTAATGTTTTCATGCTCCCCTGCCCCCTTCCCCTATGGGTTCCTTGCACTTAATTCACCATTTTCTGCGTGTCCCTTTAGGCTTGGCTCCTGGTCCCTCTGCTCTGAAGATGCACAGGGAGTACACCAGAGAGTGTCTTTGCAGGGCTCTCTAGTCAAGAAGGAGAAATAACAGGGGGAAGTCTGGCCCGACCATTGCAGTCTTCTAGTAGATCATCCTTCATATAAACAGAGTATGTTGACCTACCTGTTGAACTATTATATATTTGCCCAGTTTTCAGAAACTCATGATTCACACATGCCAAAAAAAAAAAATAAAGGTGTCATCAAAAAGCATCTTTCTGAAACCAGAGTGACTCTCTTAGCGGAACTCTACTCCTTGATCTGAAAGTAAAGTATGGTGAAGTATCTAATTTTAGAACTGTTTTCATGTGGCTAAAACCAGATGCAGATTTATCAGGCAAGACAAAGGTTTTAATCTTTACTCTCCCCTCCACTTTCCAGTAACAACAGGGAAAGCAGTAAGCACTTCCTTCATGTGATGTGGCTGCTCAGCCATGCACCCTTCCCAGTCACGTAGGGGTTAGAGCTGCTCCTCAGTAAAACATTCTCTTTTCTTTTTTGCAAAGTCACTAAGCTATTTTTGTTCAAGTATTCAAAAGAAGTGTTCTGCCTGCGGCAGAAATCCAGCATGAAAAATTTCTGCCCAAATTATTAAAGAATGGTGGAGTAACAAACTACTGAAAACAGATGGAGTTTGGCATAAGAAATTACAGATGCCATCACTCATGGCCTTTATACTCTCTAAGCATTTATACCGTAACACATATTCAAATGTGCACTGCCACTCAGCAGAGTTCTCACTTGTCTTATCTTCTGTGTTCCTAAAAAAAACCAAAAAAACCCCACTAGACTTTCTGGCTGTAAGAAATGTATTTCCAAGTAGCTAGAGGCAATTATGTCAACCTTCCACTAAGCAATCAGGTGGCAAGAACCTCCTTACCTCAATGTCATTATTTCTTACAAAAATCAGTAATGACTTTATCCTTACTCACTGTTTTAGTTCAGTGTAACAATGCAAACAGCACAGAAAAACTCAGTGATGGAGGGGCCTGAACAGATACCAAGAAAGCCAATGGAGTGGATTTTAATAGAGTGGGTTTTAATTTCTTGAAAGAAGTTGCCATACAAACAGATAGCAAAAATCGTTCAATCCTTTACAAGAAAGGTAGTAATCATACATTTTGGTTTGGGAAATCTATCATAAACAGTATTTGCAGAACAAATTATAGCACTGACTTTTGCTCATATTATAAGAGTGCAGAGGAAAGAGGTGGATATTCTAACAACCATTGGGTACAGAGAAAGACATAATGAATGAAAGTCAGTTTAGCAAGAACTAGGATGTCACATTCACATTCTCTGGAAAAATCCCTTCGCCCAGGATTTTTCCCCTGGGAAGCTGAGAAGCCTCAGAGAAAAGGGAAAAAATTATTATCTCATTTGATTCTCCTGTGTTTTGCTCATCTGGAATATGTTTGGAGGTTGTTTACCACAGGTGACTGTTTCATTGGTTTCTGGTGTGAGTTGTTTTCTCTCACTGGCCAATCAGTGTCAGGATCTGGAGAGAGACATGAGTTTTCATTATAATCTTTTTAGTCTTCTGTAAGTATCCTTTCTGTATTCTTTAGCATAGTATAGTTTACCATTTCTTAATATAATATAGTATCATAAAATAATAAATTAGCCTTCTGAAAACCTGGAGTCAGATTCATCATTCCTTCATTCGTCTGGGGGAGCCAGCAAGTTCAATACTAGGAGATAAGACACTTTACATTAGAACCTTCATATATTATTGGTGGATCCATTTATTTTTTTATATCAACTTGCATTAAACAAGGGGACAAATTTAGGATTCAAGTCAACAAAGAAACAGCTGTGGATTTCCATTTCTATTTGATTTATATTGTTAGAAATCAATGTCATATAAGAGAAGCACCTTCTGGTATATCAAAGAATCCCTGTAGTGATTTTGAGTGGCTCCATGGAAATAACAGTTATATTTGTTCAAAATTGATACACAGCAAGTCTGGCTCTCTCTACATCTACTATTTAAGGCAGCTACAGCTAATTTGGAAGAACAACTCTAAATTTTAATCCTAGGAAACTAATTTTGCCCAACTGAAAAGAAATGATACAGAAGTATCCTCTTGATCTCAGGAAAATTAATGGTAAGGAAGGCCTGCATCCACCTATGGCTTGACTTTCTCTGTATCACCAGATGGAATCCACATCACTAGGGAATTGTATGAATTCTAAGAGACTTCTCTTTTTTGTTTCTTCACATTCTCTGGGCATAGTTTCAAAGGAGTTTAATGTTAGACCTACCCTCTAGACAAAGCTTTAACAGTAAATGACTTACTCCTATAACCGTAGTCCAGCCAGACCATTTCAGTAAAATTCAGGCCTGAGTGCATTCAGTGGGAGATTTCCTATGAAGTTTAGATGAAGCTAGGATTCATCTCAGCTTCTCTCTTCTGGTGCAGGAGAACTGACTGCAACTAGGCAGAGATGATGCATTGTTCTTTACAGTCTGAACTTGTGCCTAATTTAGTCTTGCAGCTAGAGCTACACAGCAAAGCACTTGACAGCTACTAGAGAGAATAGTCTGGAAACTGTCAGCTCAGAGGGATGCTTATAGAGCTCTCACTCTTTGGAGTAAGTTCTTTTCTGTCTAATCAAAGGAAAAGTATTTTTGTTAAGAAACTTGACATTCCAAATAAGAGTGCTGTTAAGTCAGGGAATGAAAATATGAAATTGCTGTTTGTTACCAGTGCTGTAAATCTTGCTGAAAGCCTTCACAAACACGCCAGATGCAGACTGCTAAATCCTTCCAATTCATGACAGCACCGAGCCACTGAGGGAATCACGCTTTCCACAGAGAGGATTGAACAAGTACCAGATATGTAAAGCCTGCATGTATCAGTTCTGATTAGCAAGGGATGCCATACTCAAGCAGTAATTTCATATTGTACGGCCAGATAAAAATTTCACACCTATACAAGAAAAAGCTTGATTCTATGCAGTCACACTATTACATTAAATTTTGAGTGCTGTCAGGACTGAGTGTATAACCTAAAAACAGTGCAGCATTCAAGTTGTGCATCTAAGTGTTTGTGTATATATGTATGCATGCAACAAAATTGCTATATCCATAATTATGCACAGAGATAACAATGTTTCCATTATATATTTCACAGCAACAGCTTCAAAATCAATAAGTATAGTTTTCTCTTGCTACAGATGGAAAGTTGGAGGCTGAACTTCAGGCTGAATTTGAAGTTTTGGAAAAGTTGATTAACTCAGAATTTTAAGACAATGCTTTAAAAAGCAAAACATTTTATAGATACATGACTCAGAAAGGGCTGAAATTTAAAGCATTTAGCTTGACAGGTGCATCTACATAAACACACACAGAGGTAAAAGGAGGCTTTGCACATTCACATTGTGAAATTACTGTGAAAACACTGTGAATCTGTACAAAACTGAAATGTCTCCTTATTTTCAGCATAGGAAAAAACCTTTTCAGCATTCAGGTGATGCATTTAATCGCTTGCGTATCTGTTGCTATTTATTCTTTTTTACATAGCTATGACAAAGAGGAAAAATGTAGTCTTCTAATTTAATAACCCAGATTGCTAAAATATATTCATAAACCATTCCATTGTTAGTTTGCCTCACTGGCCTTCTAGTCTGTTCCAACAGACCTTCTTGTTATTTAGCCTATCTTTAGCCTCCAGCATTTGTGATCTTCAGCTTACAAGAAATTAGGGCAATATCCATAAAAGGATGTTTCAATTTAGTTTATCCTGCCTTAGACCCAGAAAACAGGTTCACAGACCTATATTAGGTACTAAGAATAGAAATTTTACCTAACCAATACCCTAACCAACAGGAAATGCTGAAGAGGTGAAATTTCACCTCTTGTTAGTGTTTAATGCACCTAACATTGAGCTGCAGAAACATCTAGGACAAGACCAACATTCCTAGTTCCTAATATCTTACGGGGGCTTAGAAGTCTAGGTTGTCTATGTTTAAACTGATGCTTAGCTCCCACTTTAATGACTTTCCTTTGGGATAACTATTCGGTGCTGGAAACATGCAGGAAATGGGAGGCTTAAGAGAGCAAAATCCTCCTGTCTGAGAGAGCGAAAACCTCAAGTACAGCTGATAAAGGCGGTGGCTTCACTCTGGCTTCTACTTCCACAAAGGTCCCTCGCCGTCTTCCTACCGGTGCTGAGAACCAAGTCTCAACTGGATTTTCCTAGGAATTAGGCTTAGTTATCGTGAAAGCTTCAACCTTCCACAAATTATTCTAAAAGTTATTCCTGAGCTTTCAGTTAAATCCAAGAGCATTACCTTTAGCTGGAATAAGTCAGTTTTGAAGTCTATTTCTGCAACGTGACCTTTTACAAAAATCTCACATCTAAGCCAAACGTCACTCCGGAGTAACTCAAATTCCTCCTGAAGTACGAAATGCCTGGACCCGAGACCGCAGGCGAGGGGAAGCACTGGGCCAGGAGGACCAGGAGGCACCAGAGGTAGAAAACCTTCGGGGCACGGATCCGCCTGGGCCGCCGCTGCCTCTCCGGGCTGTTTCAGGCCTTCCCAGAGGCAGAGATCAGCCCTCTCGTATAAAAAGAAACCATTCTGTTCCCGCACCCTCCCGAGGGGCCGCCCCGGGCTGTGGGATCAAGGCCCCGCTCCAGCAGCTCCCGCACCCGGCGGCACCGGCCCGCGCCCGCCCGGCCCCGGTTTCCGGCGGGACCTTGTGCGGCTGCGCTTCCCTTCCCCCGCGCTCGGCCGAGCCGCGGCGGTCCCGGTGTCGGTGCCCGGGCTGTGCCCGTGTCCCCGCGGTCTCCATGCCGTCGCGGGTGCTGTGCCTGGGCGGCGGGGCCGGGGGTCCCGCTGCGCGCAGGGTCCGCCTGCTCCTGCGGCAGGTGGTGGGCGGCGGCGCGGCCGCGGCGCGGTATGGCCGCTCCGAGGTCAGGGCGCTGCACAGCTCAGGTAACCCACCCCGGCCCCGGTGTCTCGGCTCCGCTGCTCCCCCGGCTGCCTCTGCTCTGGCCACAGCCCCGGCGCTGCCGCCGCGCCTGGGGAGGCCGGCAGGCAGGTGCCACCCCGGGCTGCGGGCTTGTCCTTGTGCTGCCGCCCCTGTCTCAAGTTCGTGAGTGCGGGGGCTCCGGAGAAGGGCAAGGGAGCTGGTGAAAGGTCTGGAGCGCAGGTCCCATGAGTGCGCTGGGGTTGTTTAGCTTGGAGAAATGGAGGCTCAGGGGGGACCTTATCTCTCTCTACAACTCCCTGAAAGGAGGGGGTAGCCAGGTGGGGGTCGGTCTCTTCTCCCAAGTAACAACTGACAGGATAAGAGGGCATAGCTTCAAGCTGCACCAAGGGTGTTTTAGGTTGGACTTCAGGAGGGTTTTCTTCGCAGGAGGTGTGATTAAGTGTAGTAGTGGACTTGCCAGGGACGTGCTGGAGTAACCATCCCTGGAGGGGAGGTGTTTAAGGAACATGCACTCGGTGCCATGGTCTGGTTGGCACGGTGGGGTTTGGTCATAGGTTGGACTCGATGATCTCAGAGGTCTTTTCCAGCCTGGCCTGAGGGGAAAGAGCAGAGTTCAGTCACAGGCTTGCAGGGACGCTTATGTGCTTGTGGTAGCTCCTGGTCCCAAGTGCTTCGGCCGCAGTGAGGCACGGGGCAGCCCTGCAGCTGGTGTCTGTGAGAGCCAGCCTGCTCTGCAGAGCGTCTGTCACATCTCGCTGTGCTCTCTCTCTGCTCCTGCATCTCGCCGTGCTCTCTGTCGGTTCCTGCATCTCGCCGTGCTCTCTGTTCCTGCATGGCACCGCTTCCTCTTCCCGCTGGGCAGAGCCGCAGGATTCGTGTCGGGGCTGCCAAGGCTGCTGCGTTTCTGAGTGTGCCAGCAGCATGTGGTAATGAGATAGAGGGTTGACCTTGAGCCTGCAGTGACCTGAACTGCCCTGGAATATCCTCTGGTGACCTTTGAGACAGGTGATGGGCCTGTGCAGAATAGAAGCGGTGTCTGGAAAGGGTGACATATGCCTGTGGTAAGCGACACTTCTCAGGATGAATGCCAAAAGCAACAAAGCTCCTAAGTACAGAGTGAGTGATCAGTAGTGATCTGCAAGTGGTTCTGATGGGGGAGTACTTGCTCAAGCTCTTAATTACACCCCTTTAATCCCACTTCTCTACATTTTAATATTTTAAAATCTGTTTATTAGTTAGCCAGTTCATTTCTTTGTTTAGTTTCTGAAAGGTTACTCAAGAAAGTAGTCTTTGAGGGATGAATATCCATAAAATTCCTTCAAGAATTTGTGAATAGATAATACCTTGTTTGTGAAAACTGCAAAAAAGACTGGAGTTATTTCCCATCAAACAAATTAGCATGAAAGAAAACAAGTTAATAATGAAGTGAGTCCAGTAGAACAAACACCTGAAGAAGGTAGCTCAGCACATTTTTGCCCTTTGTTGGGATGAGTAACCTTAAGAAGAAAAAGAAATCTAGCAGTGTAAAATGGTCATTCAGCTGTCATTTCATCACTTTCATAAATTTCATCACTTTAAATTTGTTGTCGAATGCAACTGAGTTTAACTCAGTGATATTTGTGAATACACTCTGTATAAATGTGAATAGCAGGGGTATCCCCAGTTACAATCAATGATGGCAGGGGTTTTGGTAGAAAGATTTTAAGTCTCAAAGCACTAGAGAATCTTGTAAATAATATTAGGGATATTTGCCCTCCCAACACCTGAGACATCTTGTTCTTTGTAGTGCTTCCCATTTTGTCTGTGAATTTGGATCAGAAGCTGTTTTTGTTGGGAATATGAAGCATTTGTATAGGGTTTACCTGTATGACACCTTTATAGTATTTTTTATTTGGTAACAATTTCATTTTGATAACACATTTTTCATTATCTCAGTTAGCTGGTAATCATCACAAAGTTTCACAGAATGTCTCTTAATCACTTCCACCCCACGGTGCAGTTATCTGTGTCTGTCCCCCCCATGGTTTCTGCTTTATTAGGCCTAAGATATCAGGCTCCTTTATCAGTTCCATTGTGCTCTTTGTCTTACTCTCCATATTCTTGATATTTAGAATAGTGTTTTTTCCCCTGTTTTATTTTGTGGGTGTTTTTTAAATTAATTTTAAAAATGTTTGTGTGTCCTCTTGCAGAGCCTAGCATTTTTTTGAGGATATTGAAGTTACAAAGGATGATCTGAAATTTTTTGTGCCCTATGTGTTTCTGCTATTTCTGTGCAGCTGCTGTAATCACAGTTCTTGTTGTAAGTGGTGTTGAGGTTGCATAAATAAATAAACAAAATGTGTCTTAAAAGGCTGGAAGCTGTTAAGAGTCAACTAAACAACAAATTGTTGTGTACACAGTAATTTGGATGTGACATCCCTGCCAGGTCAGGCTGAAATCCCAAACAGGATTTACTGTCTGTCCTGGTACATTCTGAGTGCAAGCGAGGAACTGTTGCCTGATGTTGTGCTGTTACATGAGAAGAAGCCATCCTTGTTAGCTTTTCAGCTCAGTCTTTGCAAAGTGAACGTGGCTTGCTGGTCCACTGGGGGCTAAGCAAGAATGAATCGCTAAAGCTCTCAAGTAGTAAAGCTCAAGAGAAGTCTCAAAGTGAAAGAGACTGCAGGACACAAGGATAATGGGAATGCCTAGGAAGGGTTTGGGGTTGCATAGCTTAATTAAGGAGGGAAGCAATTTATAGACGCAAGTGTTGTAGAAGGCCGACTGTCAGAATAATTTTTAATGCGGGTTTCATGTTTCCTTCTAAAAGACTAAAAAGTATCACATTTTTGTAGACTGTAGATTTTTGGAGACTTGTGATGAATTAGGTTAAATGCACTGTGACCTGAATAAAATGGAGTTCTATGTAACTCAGTTCACATTTATTTACTTATTTTAATGTAAATGTAATATTAATGTTTTTTAAAAGTTGACGTAGTACACAATATTGGAGTTGCTGTAAGGGATTACAGGAAACAAATGCTGAATTTGATGTAAACTAAAGAACTGGAAAAATAAAAACCATTGCCAATTAGATAGTACAGGCAAAGGAAGGTCTCTTGTGTGCTTTGCTGCTCTGTGTACATAACTTATGCTTTGTCACTTGTGATCAATCAAAATATGTACTAGCTACATTTGCTGTTTACTGTAGCACTGCCTGTCCAGGTTCACTTCCTCTACTTTCTTTATGTGAAATTTTTGGTCAATTCCCGTTCCTAATCAAACTTGTGTTTAAAGCCTAAAAGATCTCAGTAGTACATCCAAGTGTATCTGCTGAGTAAAACACAGTCACTTGTGAAAATTGCATCGCACTTCAGAGTCCTGTAAGGTTCATCGTCGGTGTAAAGGATCTAAAAGATTGTGGTAAAGATCTATAATCTGAAAGAGGGCTATGAATTTGACTGTGTGTTTGTAAGTGTTTTGTTTCTTTCCAGGTTTATCGTTGTCAAAAGACTAAAGATCTGGTTGATGATGGATGTAAATGCTTTCTGGCACATTGCCTTTTCCAATTTTACCTGTGTCATTATCTTTGTTGAGGTTCACATGTTGACAGCTGAGAGTGTGTTTCTGACAATATTTTTTTTTTTTTGCTGGCAAAACCTATTTTTAGAGAGACTTCATTATTTCTTCTTTCTCATGACATTCCTATAATTGTTCATTGCCTCCGTAGTTGTACTTAGGGGACTGCATTGTGGTGACTGAAATGATTCCAGGGATTTGATTTATGGTGAGCCTTGTGTACGGTTGTTGCGTCAGCACAACTCAGAAGGCAGCTAATGGGGATGGGAATTTTCAAAGCCAGTTGTCTGAAAGTTTGCAGGGTTATTTCAAATTATTCTAACATTTAGAAAGGAAAGGTTCATGGTAAAAAAAAATTAGTGTATTTTATTAGACATGCTGATGTAGCTGGAACAAAGGGGTAAAATGTCAGGTCAACTTCTGTAGGGCTTCGCTTTTGGTATATAACTGGATGTTAGTAAATAGTTTCTGAGTGTTAATATTTGCCTGTTGTTTGAAACTTAATTTTTTCTGTTAAACAACAGGCCTGATATGTGTTGATGTGTTCTACAAGTTGTGCCCAGCTTAATGTGTAAGATTGCAGTTGTAGCTGCTTGGCATACTCAGGGACTCAGGATAGTTGTAGGCAATGCCATAGCTAATTTTATAACTGTTTTGTCAGTTTTGGATAGCTTTTCAGTAAATGTGAAATTTCAAAAACATTTATTTTGATTTTCAGTTGCAGATTCTTTTTGATTGAAATTAATTTTTGAAAATATACTGATGTACTTGTTATCTAAGCTCAGTTGAGAGTATATAGTCTGTTTTTTCTCCACTGAGCAAAATGTACTTCAGAAACCTTTGTGCAGTTTGAAAACACTCTGAGCTAATTTTTCACAAAAGTAGCATTGGCTATGGAAGATCTGAAAGGGAGACCTGGTGATGCAGTGGCATCTGCTACTGTGTGACTTAAGAGGAGCTGGTGGATATCACTTTCTACAGACAGCTAGCAGTAACCTCCCACTCCCGAGCTTTCATGCTCACGGGGGATTTCAGCCATGCAGACATCAGCTGGGAGGGCAATCTGGTGTTGTGTGTGCACTCTTGGTACTTCCTAGGCTGTGTTGGTAAAAATTTTGTAACTCAGATGCCAGGGTTAGGGTTATCTCTTCCTTTGTCTGCTGCTTTCAAGAAGGGAAGAGCTGTGACCAGTTTGGTCACAGGTGGCAGCCTGGATTTCAGTGACTGGGACATGCCTGAGTTGCACATCTGGAGAAGGGCTGGGAAGGTGAGCAGCAGAATTAGGATCTTGGACTTGACAACTGCAATCTTTCACTTATCCAGGAGATTGGTAGGTAGAATCCTTTGGATAACAACCATGAAGATGGAAGGTGCACAGGAGAGCTTGAAAATTTTTAAATGTGGCAGTTTGGCAGTGACCCATTCAGCAGTAGCAGAAGGCCTT